CTTAGTAAAGTAAGAACGCTGAAACTTCCAGGGCTGGTGGTGGAAGAAGGAATCAAAAGCCTCAGAGAAGTGGCTGGTTGTGAGAATAGTGTGGGTGATTGATCAGGGCCTGCACAGAGAAATATTAGAAGGTAGGGGACAGAAAGAACTGGGGAATCGAGGGACAGACCTATGCAAGCAGGCACAGAGCGTGAAGAGGTGAAGCCGCAGAGTACCTGGGTGACTTCTACATCTGAAAGATCATTTCAGAGCAACGGCCTGATGAGATTTGCCTTTGGAGGCGGTTTGCTCACTTCCCCTCCACTGGTCACTCGTGATCAAAGGGTCCCCAGGGTGGGCCAAATCTGGCTCTGCTCGGACTTGGAGGCCCTCGTGCTGCTCACGCTTCCATGAGGCAAAACCTTAGGTTTCCCAGAGCCTTAGTGGAGGCTGCTCTCACTGCATGAGGTCGTGCTGGGATAGGGAAATGTCTGATTGGTCCCATCAGCACTCTGCACAATCTGCTAGATATTGTCTGCTCGTGGTCTCACCCCGGTGCTGATGAAGCAAAGTTAGTGACTGATACTATTTCCACCATCATCTCCCAGCCAGGCCTGACAATGAAGTGGGAAATGCTGCATCTGGGGGGAAAAAAGAATCCCATATTTATCAAACAAAATGAGCAGCTTTTCCTAGCACACATAGAATATTTATAAAAATTGATGACATGTGAGAAAAAAGAAGTCTATTAAACATGTAGAGAGTTGATAGCATATGGATCACTGGTTTCCAAACGTTTCCGATCACGTCTCTTTGTTGCTGGGTTCCCAGGGAAGCAGACTCCGCAGTGGAGATGAGTGTGGAGAAAGTTCAGGGAGTGCTCTTGGGATCGACGCCTGTGACACAGGAGGGAAGGAAACGGGAGGTGAGGCAGGAGGTGAGCTCAATGCAGTGCTTCAGCACAGTGTCCCAGGGAACCCCAGGGCTGTCAGCCCTTCAGAGTCGGGGCAAGAGGATCAGGCACTTCCACGCCTGAGTTACAGTCATTGGAGGCAAGCTACCTCTGGAAGATGCCATGACCTTGAGCAAGGCAATCCCTGAAGAAGGCCGTTTTCTGGCAGCACTCCCACTAGCTGGGGAATAAATATTTCATTCCTAAAAGAGGAATAAAAGTACCTCACATGAATTTTTAGTATACATCTCCAATCCGTACGATGTTTACAAAGTGTATGTTTTTACAATGATATTGACATATACGTATATTATAAAACACAATAGAAATTTATCAAAGATGAGATAATGAAATAAACAATATATTAAAATATTTTGCTAATAGGTGATGGTTTCATACTCTTAACTTCATCACAAATGGTAGGTTATAAATCAATATTTCTAATAATCTTGATAATTTCATTTTGTTTTTTGGCCAACTTCTTGCCAGGTCTGATTAAAAGCTGATTCCAGAACCACCAGTTCTGCCATTTTCTTGTTGTTCACCTTTGCTTGCATTATTTTGTGAAGGTTAATTAAATTAAATGAAATTAAATAATTTAGTCTAAATATCTGCTTGCCCCAGCACGCATAATTTGCAGTATTTCTCAATGTGCTGAAAGCAAAAGAAAGAGGGAGGAGACCTCCATCTGCCTCTCTGCACCTTGGAACTCACCCTCTTCCCTGAGGACATTCCTTCCTGGCACAGCTGTCTGAGATGCCACCTTCTGAGGAAGGCAGTGTCATATGTACATGAAATGCTAATTTCTTACTTGTTAGACAGAAATAAGTAGTAATAATCACTCTAAATATTTTCTGTCTGCCACCTCTATGGTCATGTTTCACACTGCCATGGGTGGGGTACCCCATTTTGGAGATATCTGATCTAGTAAGCAGCAGGTTGGTGCACCCCAAGTTCAGTGCCCACCTCCATTTTGGTCAGTGCTGAGAGTTGCTGCTTCTCAAATTACTCTTCCTTTGTGTCGTTGCTGACCACCTTTCCTTCTGATAATGTGTATTGTCTTTATGAGAGTTTTTATCTCGAAGTGGGAGTCAATTTGAGATTGTAGGCCTGTGAGACTGTTTCCTACTAAATGCTGACTTGCAATCCTATTCTCAGGTGTTTATTGTGTCTCTATGAACTACCAACAACTGAGTGTGAACCATAACATAAAAATGTATAAGCAATTCAACATGGAGCTGAAAACCAGATCATACTGGCAAAAGTTTTTAAAAAAAACAAACGAGAAATCTTGTTTAATGAGATTAGATTATCAAATTACCTATGACACTGAAAAAAACAAAAACAAAATCCCACTAATTTTTGACTCCACCTGTATTAGTTGGATTAGGGCCAACTGTGAGTGATTAAACACCTGCAGTAACACTGGCTCACCCACCATAGGAACTCTCTCTCTCTCTCTCTCTCATATAAATGACTGTTGAAAAGCAGAATGGCAGCTCTGCCTCTTGAGGTCCTCAGGGACCAAGCTTTCCACGGCCTCCCATTCTGCAATCCCTACCGAGGGTATGACCTTTATCCTCGTGGCCCAGTATAGCAGTTCAAACTCCCGCCATCATATCTGTTCCAGGCAGCAGGATGGAGGATACGTAAAAAAGAGGTGAAGAGTGCGCGTCATCTGATTCTTAAGGTAGGTTCCTGAAAGCTGCCATTCGACACTTCCACCTACATCCTATCATCTGGGTCTTAGTCACACGTTCACAACTGCACGCAAGAGAAGCTGACAAATATACTGTATATTTTGAGTAACCAATTGCTCATCTAAAAACTTGGAAGTTTATAACTTCCAAGAGAGAAACAGTGAGGTTACAGACACCAGTCTCTTTCAAAATGTACAAATCAACAATTCTCTAGGCCCCAGGAGGCTTCAGGAATCCGGCACACTGATGATTCGGTTAGATAAGGTTTTCCCTGCCTCATCCTAAGGATCTCACCATGCAGCTAGAATTAGCAACTGCTCCTGTTTGCACTGCTTCCTCCCAGAGAAGGTGGAAAACCTGATTATGAAATAGGTACACGACAAGGCAGACTACATCAGCTCTGCTTGTATCTTCTCATCAGGTACTTTCAGGTACTCCTTTTGCCAGGGTATTTTGAGTTTGGTGAAAGAGGACAAGTAAATATTACAACTGATGCGTCCCAAAATTCTTTGAACAAAAATTAAAAGCACTGTGCATCTTTCTCATGTTCTTCTTTCTCAAAGTGCAAGAAAAAATGCTGAGAACAGGCAAGATATAATCTTCCTAAAATGTTGATCCCACTGGGGATATCAATATAACTGGAGTCTTTCCCTCTATTCTTGTTAACTAACTTTTGTTTAAAGAGATACAGCAATAGCAGAAGAAAGAGTTTTTGGCTTTTGATCTCTATATGAAGTGCCTTGGAAACAATAGTGAATGCCGCACAACTCCAAGGGGTGCTATTCACATTATTTTATGTGACTGGCAGCCCCTTGGACCACAGTATGAAATGGTGTCCCTCAGAGCTGTGTGATACTGCTGTCCAGCCAGGAAACAATGTAAATTGCTCGTTAATCTCAAAGTATGTGTAAACTGGCAAAATAAGTAGATGGCACTGATAGTCCCGAGAATAGTCGAACACTTCTGTTCTTGTGGAAAGCTGCTTTTAAACATAATTTAAAGAACTTGATTTATATTACGCTTGTCAATGGCTACCAAAGGATTCAAACAATCTAGTGAGCCTGCAATATTTCTGACTCATAGAGGTCTATTTTAAGGACAAATGTAAAACCCTGGAAATTCCAGGTCCCTACAGGACTGTAGAGTATGATTTGCATACACCATTCTGTAACATCATTAATCAGGAAGTTTAGGATCCCCCTCACTTTATCACTTTCACACACACCTGTTCCTGCTGGAAATGGATAAGTGGGTAGCAACCGCAGCTGCACAGTGCCCTTACTGATTTACATAACATCATTAGTCTCATCTTTAAAGCTGGAGTGTTATGGCAAAGCTTCAAGTATGCTTCTAATACATCGTTCTCATCAGAGTCAATTACCATTAGAACACATTTTTACAATGTCATCCACAGCTGTTTTTATTTTAAAAAGATAGATAGTTTTAAAGTTACTAACAACAACAAAATAAGTCTTTTAAGCAAGTGCATTTTCAAGGATCGGATAACATATCCTGGAAAGATTTCATCGTATTGTTTCATGTAGGGCCCAACAAATTAGAATTACGTTTGCCTCCTTTGATATAAAGTAAAACTAAATAAATTCATATTTCTTCTTCCCATTTTATTTATATATAAAGTATTAGGTCTCAAACACATATGAAAATATGGTATCTCTTCTAAGAAATGCATTCAGATATATATACACAAACATTAGCATAAAGTTTCAGGCATTATTGACTCATAAAACCTATTCATAGACACCCTAGTTTCAAAGCCCCAATTGAGAAGATAGTGTAGGGTGAAAATGAGTTTTAAGAACTCAAAATCCACTAATGGCCTAAAGAAGAAAAAGTTAATATGCATGGATTTAATGTTTAAAAAAAGTCACTTTGGAGACAAAGTTACTACTTTCGGGAATCTTTTTCTATGGATGTCTTTAATTTCAGGGACCAATTTAAACTCCAGCAATATACATCTTAAAAATTATTCTAAATTCACCTGCAATCGTAGACACACTCTAGGGGTGTTTTGGGTTGTTGTTGTCTTTTTAAAAGATTTTTATTTATTTTTTAGAGAGTAGGGAAGGGAGGGAGAAACAGAGGGAGAGAAACATCAGTCAGTTGCCTCTGGCACACCCTCAGCTGGCCTGCAACCCAGGCATGTACCCTGACCCGGAATTGAACAGTGACCTTTCAGTTTGCAGGCTGGTGCTCAATCCACTGACCCACCCAGCCGGGGCTGGTTTTCTGTTGTCTTTACAATTAAAAAAAACATACTATACTCATTCAAGACTTCTCTATCAGAACTTTTGATAGTTTTGTTTGGGATCACAGGTGAAAATATTGTGAAAACAGCATCTCACACTGAAGGACAACAACTTGAGCCCACTTATTTACTTATTTATTCAAAACTTTATTGAATTATGATTATGTACCATACAGTTAACTCATTTAAGGTATACAACTCAATGTTCTTTTTAGTAGATTCACAGAGTTTTGTAATCATCACAATAATTTCACATTTTCATTAACCCAAAAAGAAATCCTGTACCATTGGCAGCCGCTCCCCATTCCCGACCCCGAATAATTCCAGCCTTTGGCAACCTCTAATCTGCTTTCTGTTTCTGTAGATTTGCCTATTCTGAACATCTTATATAAATCTTCACATAATATTTGGCCTTTTGTGACTGGGTTCTTTCACTTAGCAACATATTTTCAAGGTCTATTATGTTGTAGCCTGTAACAGTACTTCACCTCTTTTCATGGCCAAATATCCTATTGCATGGCCATTCCACACTTTGTTCACGCATCCACCAGTGATGGACATTTCCTTGGTTCCCAGTTTGGGGCTATTGTGAATAATTCTGCTGTAAACATTTCTGTAGAAATGTTTTTTGTATTGACCAGCCCCTCAACATTTAACCACACAAAACATTAAACAAGAAGTCTTATAAAAAAATTGCACAAAACATTTTGGAATCATTTTAGATTTTTCAAGACTCAACCATTTTCATACCCAACATCACAGAGGCTTACCATGACAGGAAAACTGGCATCATTACAGAATCCAAATCTAACCTGGAATCAGGGAAGATTACATGTTCTCTAAGATCCCTTTTTACACTAAGTTGACAGCTTTCTACTATCTATTATTTCTCCATGAATAGAAGAGTAAAGAAAGACCAGGACATCCCCTGATCTGGAGGGAATTATCAACAAACATCACTAAGCCCTTTGAAAGCAGAAAGCACAACTGTGCCCGTTTGTGACGGGGCCTTGGAGGGGGGCCATATATTGAGCATGACTTGCCAAACTACTCAGAGTTCCCCATTCTGGTCCAAAGTACTTCCCAACCATGTCTTGTCTACAACTTCAACTTTGTTTTGCATCTGCATACTGCCTCTCCTTGGGCAGCTTTCCATGCTCACTCACAGAGACCTCACTGTGTACTCTACCCTGCCAACCATTTTCATTCTGCCCCAGGACTATGGACTGAACCTGATCACAGGCATCGATGCTGGATTAGTCTGAACTCTAGGCCTGCCAAGTACTGTGTGAGAAGCTCAGGGTAGACGCAATGAATGTTTGTTGAATGACGGACCCGTGAGATTTCCCATCAGTGCTAGTGTGTGAGGCTGAAGGGGGTCAAATTATTTTAACTTAGTTGCTTTTATCAGTTATTAACTGATTACATATTTCTCTAATGATATAAGCATTTAGGAACCTCAATGTGTTCCTGAGGCTCTTTTCTTAGCTATTAAGATATTAACTTGAGTTTATTCATTGAGATTGAAGTCGTTTATCTGATAAGGACAGGTTCAGAGGCATAGGAAGCACATTACTGAATATTTGACCCATTGTAATGAACAGACAGAAGACCCAAAGAGGAGATTTAGTTAACTATTTCTTTAGCTTTGTATTTCAGAGCAATTTTTTATTGTTTATTGGGGGGACATGGGTTCCCAAAACCATATAGGTTTCAAGTCAAGAACTCAATAAAACATCATCTGCACACAGCATTGGGCACCCATCGCCCAAAGCAAAGCCTTTTTTCCACCCAGAGCAACCTATTTTAGACCTTTGGATTTAATTTCAATGAAATCCAGTGAGCATTACCTGCTGCCAGAGTGTGAGGCGTAACCTGAAAGGCAGAATCACAGTTTACTGCTGGGGGGTCCTGCCAAGGTCTGCCATTCTTTCAAAGGAGGATTTCCTTGGGAAGCCAATTTTTTCAGATAGTCACAAGGTTCTAGTTGGGGAACATCAGGATTCTGCCTGTAATATTTCTGCAACTTCTCTAGCACTGTGGGCAAACCAACTGTGGAAGCATAGAACATGGGTCCACCCCTGTGCCTTGGCCATCCATACCCATGCAAATATACAACATCAATGTGATCTGGGCTGGCAGCTATCCCTTCTCCTAAGATGCAGAATGCTTCGTTGATGAGTGAATATAAGCAGCGCTCCAGGATCTCATCCTTGCTAATGCTACGTGGTTCAATGTCATAGGTTTCCCTGTACTGTGACAGAAATTTGGAAATCCAAGGATCAGGTGTGTGAATCCTACCCAATGGCTTATCATATTGGTACCAACCCTTACCTGCCTTCTGGCCAAATCGTCCTGCTTCACAGAGCATATCAGGAATTGGGCAGTATCTCCTGCTGCCTCGCTTTCGGGCAGGGGTCCCTGGAGGCAACATGGGGCCAGTAAGACCTTGCCCCTTTCGAGATCTCCAACCCACATCTAACCCAGCAAGATCAGACACTCTAAAAGGTCCCATTTTGAAACCAAAGTCTTCCAGCACCTCATCTATCTCCTCTGGTGTACTGCCATCTTCTAATAAGAAATACGCCTGATTGTAATAAGAGTTCAACATTCGATTACCAACAAACCCAAAACAGTTGCCTACAACTACACCAAATTTTTCTATCTTTTTTGCTAAGTTCATAACAGTGGCAATAGTAGTGGAGGAGGAGTATCGGTTGGGAATGACCTCTAACAACTTCATGACATGAGCTGGTGAGAAGAAATGGGTGCCAATGACCAAGTGAGGACGATCAGTGGAAGAAGCAATCTCGTCAATGTCCAAGGCTGATGTATTGGTGCACAAAAAAGCTTCTGGCTTGCACACGGCTGACAGCTCAGCAAAGACGTGCTTCTTTAGGTTCATGTCCTCAAATACTGCTTCAATGACTAAATCTACACCACTAAGCTCCTTCATAGATGTGGTTAACCTGGGTATTGGTCCTGACCAAGGGTGGCCACTTTTCTGCATTTTGGATCCTTCCTTTTCCAAGAGGAAGGTTATAATTTTCTTCGCAGTTTCTAGCTGCTTCCTGTCTGCTTCCACAGCAATCACAGGAATCTTGGCTTTTGCAAGAGAAATGACAATGCCTCGACCCATTGTTCCCAAGCCTGTAGATAAGAGCAAAAGAGGAAAAAATGATTCAATAGTATTGAGAACTGGAAAATTACTCAGTGGATGCAAAGCTTCTGTGGCAATGTGGCATTTGCAGAGATCAAGGAACATAAATGGATTGAATACTAGTTAAGTCTAGCCATTGTGTTGTGTGCTTTAGAGTATATCACACACACACACATGCACAGACATACTATTAGAACTAATAAACAAGTTCAGCAAAGTCACAGGATTTAAGATCAATATACAAAAATCAACTGTATTTCAATACACCAGCAATGAGGAATCTGAACATGAAATTAAGAAAACAATTCTGCTTACAATAGTATCAAAAATAAAATACTTCAGAATAAATTCAATGAAAAAATTGCAAAACCTGTACACCAAACCCAGAAAACATTACTGAAAGAAATGAAAGACCTAAATAAATGGAAAGAACCTCATGTTCACTATTCAGAAGGCTCAGTATTGTTGAGATGGCAATACCACCCAAACTGATCTGCAAATTCAGTCAATCCCTATCAAAAATCCAACTGGGTTTTTTTTTTTTGCAGAAATTAATAACCTCACCCTAACATTTGTATAGAAATAAAAAGAGTCCAGAATAACCAAAACAATATTGAAAAATAAGAACAAAGTTGGAGAACTCACTCTTCCCAATTTCAAAACTTATGACAAAGCTACAGTATTCAAGGCAGGGTGGTCCTGAAACAAGGACAGATGTGTGTATCAGTGGAATAGAGTTCACATAAATTTATATGCTTGTGGCCAAATGATTTTTGGATTTCATCCTTGGCCAAGGATTTCAACAAATGATACTAGGACAACTAGATATCCACATGCAAAAGAATGATCTGATAAGGGATTTGTGTCAGAATATGTAAAAAACGCTTAAACTCAACAATAAAAATACAATTCACTTAAGGCAAATGGTGCCATGGCTGGTGTGGCTTAGTGGATTGAGCACCCGCCTGTGAACCAAAGGGTCCAGCGATTCGATTTGCAGTCAAGGCACATGCCTGGGTTGCAGGCCAGGGGACGGTCTAATAAAGATTTCTCCAAAGAAGATATACGATGCACAATAAGCATTTAAAAGAGACACCTAACATCAATAGTCCTTACGGAAATTCAATTCAAAACCACAGTAAGCTGCCACTTTGTATCCACTAAGTTAGCTATAATTAAAATGACATAACAAGTTCTGGCAAGGATGTGGAGAAAATAGAACCCTGACACCTGGCTGGCAGACTGTGAAATGGTGCTGCTGCTGTGGAAACACAGTTGGAAGTTCCTCGAATGTTAAACGTGGACTTGTCACATGAGCCAATAATTCCACTCCTGGGTGGGAAGGTATGGAGGTAGGTAGATAGATATGTGGATATAAATCTCTAAGAGAATTTAAGACGTATGGCCACATGAAATTTGTACATAAAGGTTCTGAGCATCCTTATTCAAAATAGCCAAAACACCAATGTCCACCAACTGATGAATAGATAAACAAAATATGTGGTATATTCAAACAGTAGAATATTATTCGGCCATAAAAAGAAAGTACTGATATACACCACTTCATTATGGATGAACCTTATGTAGATGAACCTTAAAAATATTATGCTGTGAAAGAAGCTGTATGCAAAAGGCCACATGTTAAATGATTCCATTTATACGAAATGCCCAGATTAGGCAAATCCATAGAGACAGAAAGCGAGTTAGTGGTTGCCAGGGGCTGGGGAAAGGACAATGAGTGATGACTGGTAATGGGTACAGGGTTTCTTTTCAGGATGATGAAAATGTTTTAAAACAGACTGTGACAATGGTTGCACAACTTTGTGACTATCTAAATGCCACGGGAGTATATTCTTTTTTGGTGACACTTATTAGTATTTAAATTTTTTTTAATTATGGTAAAACCCATATAAAATTTACATCCATTTACAGGTTAGTGGATTAAGTATGTTCACATTGTGGTGCAACCAGCATGACCATCCATCTCCCAAACGCTTTCATCTCGGAAAATTCAAACTCTGTACCCAGTAAACAATGCTTCCTCTTTCATCTTTCCCCTGCTGTGCTGCCACGGGCAACCACTATTAAACTTTCTATCTTTATGAGTACTTTAGGTATCTCATATACAAGTGGAATCATATAGAATTTGTTCTTTTGTGACTAGCTTATCTCACTCAACATAATATATTCAAGGTTCATCTGTGTTGTATTACGTATAAGAATTCCCTACCTTTTTAAGGCTGAATAATACCCCACTGTATGTATACACTGCATTTTGTTTATACATTCATCCCCTGATGGACACTTGGGTCGTTTCTACTTTAGACTGTGGTGAATGATGCTGCTGTGAGCACAAGTGCACAAACACCTGTTCGTGTCCCTGCTTTGCATTCTTCAGGGTACATACTCAGAGGCCGAACTGCTGGGTCAGATGGTAGTTCTCTCTTTAATGTTTTGAGGAACTGCCATGCTTTTTCCATAGTAGCTATATCATTTTCCATTGAACTCTTTAAAATGGTAAGTTTTATGGTATATGAGTTATATCTCCATAAAACTGTTAAAAATATTAAAAGTACCAATTCTCAGGGAGCCTATAATCTAGTAGTGTGAAGAAGGAAAGTTCACACTATCTATTCTATTAAGGTAAAGTTAACGATGTGAGAACTTTGAATGTCTTTCATGCTTCAAAAGAAAGATTATACTTGGTCGAATGATTCAAGAAAAGCTTCAATATTAAGATATTTGAAGAAAGATCATATTGAAGTAGATGAAATTGAGGAAGTTGAACTATCCAAGCGGGGGAAGGAAAAGAGAAAGGGAATAATGTTTTAAGCAAAAGCAAGAAGAACAGAAAATGAGGAAAAAGCATTCAGTGGCACAGATGTCGCTCTTCCTTGCCCACACCGTTTCATTTTCCTCCTGGGCACAGAAGAGACTGTGGTTTCCATATCCCTTGTATCCCGGCAGGGCCTGTGACTACTTCTGGGCCATACGATGGTTGGGGGTGTGCATGGGACCTATGACTGGCCCATAAAAGCTCCCACAAGATCTCACATTATCGCCTGAAGATAGAAAATGCAGAGAACAACTGCATTTTGAAAGAGACCCTAAAGACCAAATCCGGGTCGGGGCCTGTTTCTATATAGCCTACAAGCTAAAAATCTCTTCACATGTTAAACAGTTGAAAAATTAAAGAAGAAGAAGATTTTATGACACAAGAAATTACATCAAATCCAAATTTCAGTGTTTATAGATAAAGTTTTATCAGAACGCAACCATGCTAATTTGTTTTTGTGTTCTCGATGGCTGTGTTGGTGCTCAAAGAAAGGGTTGGGTAGTTGCAGCAGGGACCACAGAACCCACAAAGCCTAAAATGTTAGTTGTGTGGCACCTCACAGGAGAAGTCTGCAGGCCCTCGTCCAAGGGAATGGCAGAGACGCCAACGGGGAAGAGCCGGGTCCCACGGTGACCTAGCGGAGCACACAGGAAGTACATCTTTATTGGGTGAAGCTACTGAGATTGTGGGTGACCTGTTACATCAGCTGGCTAACTGTTACTTAACCAACCCAGCGTGGATAAAACAGCTTAGTGAAAGCCGTTTATATATTATGCTCTTCTATGCTTCATGTTGACTAAACTTGGGGATTGCTTTTGAACATAGAATGTTTCAGTCACAAAAAAACCCAGTGATTTCTTTTCTTTGGCATATAGTTATTTAATTTTCAAATTTTATTAAATTGTTTTATATTGTATATAATTACTAAACATATTGAATGATTAAAATGTTTAGTTTTCCAAATTTGCTAAATATCTGCATTTCACTCAGTAATGAGAAGGCTTAGTAGGTCTTGCTGCTGCAGCAACTCGCATCCTACACTTTAGCCTGGGGAGTGTGTGGAGCTCAAGGGCCCGGGCTCCCGGCTTTCAGTCCCAACCCTCATACAAAATGCCTACAATTATAGAAGTCAGGCTCTCACAGGGACAATAACGATGAGGATTAATGAGAAGTGCTGCGTTACCTGTAACATAAGGTAAAGCGATATCTCAGAACTGAAGACGGAGCAGGGGAGGGGAGCCGCCCTGGGGAAGGTGGAGAACAGCCAGCCCCTCAGGGCCGACCCCTCAGAGCAGGTGTGCGCCAGGGTCTCGAGGGCGGCAGAGCGACTCATGACCCGAACCACAAGAGCGGAGAAGCTTGATGCCTTTTAGAAGTGTCCTGGCTATCATTTTAGATCTTCCTTAGTTTAGCTCTAGAAATGAATGCTTTTCATTTCATCATGAAAATAAAAACACACATGAAAGCCCAATGCCACTGACTCTTGGAAACACAAGTTTGAACTGCGTGGGTCTGCTTATATGCAGATTTTTTCAATAAACACAGCAAATGTATTTTCACTTCCTTATGATTTTCTTAATAGCATTTTTTCTCTAGCTTCCTTTATTGTAAGAATACATATAACATACAAAATATGTGTTAATCAACTGTTATTAGTAAGGCTTCTAGTCAATGGTAGGCTAATAGTAGTTAAGTTTGGGGGAAGTCAGAAGTTACACATGGATTTTCAGCTGCTCAGGGAATTGGCCCCTATAACCCCTGTATTTTTCAAGGGTCCACTGTATACATTTCTTTCAAAAAGCCCTTAACTCCTAACACCTCTGCTCACACCCCTGTGGTCTCAAGGTACTCAGCACTGTCTGATAAAGAGCTGAAGGACCAAGCCTTTCACTGCTGGTTACTGTGTTTTCACAGGTACCTATTGTATTTGTACTGAATTTAGTTTGCTAATTTTCCCTCATTAAACAAATACAGACAGTGGCAAGGAGTCCTGCTCTGCTACCAGATTTTTGCGTTCACCTGCCATAGAATTAAATTTGGTCAGAAACCTCTTTTACCAAGAGAAGTAAATAAAGACTAAGGGATGCTTTAACTACTGGTCAACTTTTTGGCCAGCTGCAGTCTTTTCCCCTCCTGAGGGCCGATCTGATCTGAGGAGCCAGGGCACAGGCTCATGGAAGCACAGGGTTGGGGCTTTGTCGGGAGGCAGAGAAGATGGGCAGTGAATCGTGGAGTTTGAGGACATTGGCAAGAGGGTGGCTGAAGTGATGACTCTGAAAATTAAAGGTGAATAGAGGAAAAAGTAAAGAGTTGCAGATCAAGTAATGGATGTAATTAGAATAACCAGCTAAGAGATGTGGGAAGAGACCAGGTTGTGGCGAAAAAGTGAAATGTCAAATGTCCAAGGTAGAGAAATGTTTGGACAAGGAGAAGACCTGTAGTAAGGCCATAAATATGGGTCACGGAAATGAAATGAGGTGAGTGCCACTGGATCTAAGGAAGCAAAAGAACCCAAACAACAGGGTTCAATGAACTGTCCACACAGAAATGAAGATAATCAGATTGGCAGCAGGATTCGGACCAAAATGGATAACTGTGAGCCAGATACCAAAATTTTCAGCAAATGGGAGGGACCAATGAGAGCAATAAGGAGGGACAGAGAGACCGTCCCGAAAGGACTGGAAAGTGAGGATGAGGTCCGTGGAGTGTGAGAGACGTAGCAGTACCATTCTCCTGAGAAGGCTGCAGGAGCAGCGGTGGCCCAGGGCAAGCCGGGATTCAGGTAGAAGACAGAGGAGGGAGCCATTAGCGAAGCAGATGAGGCTGTCAGCAAGTTCCAGAGGGCACAGTACACAGTGGGGGAAGGCATCACAAAGACGAAATGCAGAGCAGTGTGGGGATAAACATGAAGAAGGGAAATAACCAAACTGAGTTTATTTTTATTCACATTGTCTCTTGTATATTTAAGACATCTCTTTTTTTTTCTCAAATGCTTTACAGAATGATGTAGGGTATACTTTAAAAAAAAACTTCAAATTTTTAAACATTCCATGCCAGATAAACCTGAAGTCTTTTTTAAAAGGCTTATAAAGATGAAATAGGGAAACTTTTAAACAATGGCTAACAAGCAATACAGATAAACTTAAGTTTGGCTATTATTTTGCACTAATTATTCCTGGCTTGAAGAAATATAGGGAAGAAGAAACAAGTAAGTACACAATGAGAAACAAATGCTTGTGTTGCTGAAAGATTACCAAAAAAGGAACGCTCATATTTCTTTGTCACATTGTTTATCCACCTCCTTAAAAAAATCACAAGTGAACAGAGTCAGTGCTGGAAGAAGCTCAGTGTGTTTCTACTAAAGACATACTATGTCATAACTGGCAATTTGCACATCTGACTTCCTTTCCCCTTTTCACTGATCTACCCAATACCCCCCTCATCAGAATTTTCTCTGTATCTACGAGTTGGTTTCTGGTTTGTTTGCTCATTTACTTTGTTTTTTAGGTTCCGCATGTAAGTAAAATCATATGATATTTGCCTTTCTCTGTCTGACTTATTTCACACAGCATAATCCTCTAGGTCCATTCATGTTGTCACAAATGGCAAGATTTCCTTCTTTTTTATGACTGAATAGCATTCCATTGTTAGCGTATGTACCACTATAGTGTCAGATGGGTATTAGACTTACCAGGTGACTACTTCACAAGTTATATAAAAGGCTAATCACTATGCTGTACACCTGAAACTAATTAATATTGTATTTCAAATGTAATTGAAAATATTTTTTAAAGACATACTATTTTATGCCTAAACTTGACTGAGATAACAGACTAAGAAAATACAGAGTAAGCTCTTTTCCTCCAGGCTGGGTTGGGTGCTAAAGGGCCAAGTGAGGACTAATAAAGTTGATACTTTCAGTAAACTATGAACCTCTTCCACCAAAAGACTGTATATGAGCTGAAACGAAGACCAACATGCTTCCCATTTCATGGGGTTTAAAATCCACACAAGACCATTTTGGGTCCAAGACTAAGAGCCATGGAGATTAAGAAAGTGGCTCAAAGAAGTCAGTCAGAGATCTAGCTTCTGAGGAAAGAAGACATTTGTTTGGAAAAATTCCAGGGGTCAAAAGTAGGGAAGCCCCCACTTCAAGGTTCCGATGGATTTGAGGATAGTGGTTTCAAAGTAGGAGAAGTGAAATGGTTCCAGGGACCAGAGAAGACAGACGTCATTCCAAATGCCTGGCTACAAGAGTGACAGGACACACCTTAAAATGTGGTACAAATAACAATTGTTGGGAGATGCAGGAGTGACAGAGTCATACAGAGAAGAGGTAGGGGTGAGTGAAAATGCCCAGACCATTTGTATTTAGCTCCTAGTTGAGAAGGTTAGTGTCTCTAGGCCTCACAGGTAAAATGAAGATAGCTCATGGGCTAGGGTGAAAATTAAGTTAGCTACCACATGTAATATATTTAGCATAGAACCTGGCACCTGGTGGCCCTAAGTGAATGACAGTAGCACCTTACGTGTGCAGATCTGGAGAATGACTTTAACTACTCTGTGTTCTTACCAAGAACGCCGACTGAGGAGATGGGCTGGGCCGAGGCTGTTTTCCAGGATGCTCCAGAGGGTACCGACCACTTACGTGCATTCCTTTCAGCTAAGAAAGCATACTGCAGGGCCCTAGCCTGCCCTGATTGCTTAAGGTACATAAACAGCTCCTCCTCCTTCTTGATGCCCTCCTCATAGGGACACCGTACAGCAGCCTGGACCGCGCGGATGCAAGTCTCCGGAGAAAGGCACCCAGGGTGCTGCTTCCGCATTTTCAGAAGGGCTTCACTGAAAATAGACTCCATGTTGGGCAAGCTCTGAACTGGCCTGTTGCAGAGCCTACGGGATTCTAGAGGCTGATCTGAAAGAAAGAAGAGAGAAAATCAGATCCTTGGAAATGTTCCTTATACTAAAGGAAAATAAGCACATAATAATGATAATAATCTTTTCAAATTCAAAGTACAAAATTAAATGCTACTCGACAAGATATTTAACGTAACACTCATACCAAAGTCTCTAATGTCTTTGCAACTTAGTTCCACAAGAATTTAATGGATCCAAAGCAATTTCAGTTTTTCCTAATTCAGGCCTAAAAGCAGTATTTTCCTATTATTCTAATTTCATAATGGATTAAATATTAATCTGTCAGTCAGTTTAAGGAAAATAGCTCTGAGTTAATAATATTTTACATAAGATTCAAAGTAATTTTAATTTGATTCCTAATAGTAACGAAAACTTTAAAATACCAAGAAGAAAAGACAGTGTGATATTGGTACTAGGAGAGACATACGAGTTGATGGAACAGAACTGAGCTCAGAAATAAATTCTTGTAATTAATGCCAATTGATTTCCAACAAAGGTGTCTAAACAATTCATAGGAGAAAAAAAAAGAAGAGTTTGTATCAACGAAGAGCACTGATGCAACTGGATATTCATATGCAAAAAGTAAATAAATAAACTTAGATTCCCTATTGGACACCATGTATAAATATTATCTCAAAATTGATCATAAATCTGAGTTGAAGACCTAAAACTAAAAAATTTCTAGAACTAAACACAGGAGAAAGTTTTGTGACATTGGGTTAGGCAAGTGTTTTTAGCAGGATCCATGAGAGAAAAATCAATCAATTAATTAGACTTCATTGAATTAAAAAAACTTCTGTACTTCAAAGAACACCATTAAGAAAATGAAATGATAAGCCATATAGGCTGGGAGAAATTATTTGCATGGTGGACAGAACGATGACTGCCCCACCCCCGCCAAATGTCCAGAAGGTAATGACTTTTCAGGGCAAAGGGACTCTACAGATAAGATTAAGGTTAACCTTAACCTTAACCTTAACATCTTTAACTTTAAAGACTTTGAGGTGTGAGATGTGGAGATTGTCCTGGATTATCCCGGTTGGCCCAATCTAATCATATCAGTCTTTAAAAGAAGACAGCCTTTTCTGGCTACTGTGAAAAAAGAGATTTGATGAGGAAAAGTCAGAAAGATGCAACAGGGAAAGACTCAACGTGTTAGCAATGATGTGGCTTTGAAGATGGAGGAAGGGGGGCCGAGAACCAAGAAACACCGTGGCCTCTAGAAGCTGGGAATGGCCCTCAGTTTACAGCCAGCAAGAAGAACATAGCACCTTGGTTCTACAATGCAAGGTACCGAATTCCACCAACAATGGATTCTCCCCTCAAGCTTTTAGGAAGGAGTGAAGCTGCATACACACTCCATGAAGACCCCTACCAGACTTGTGGCCTTTAGATGGGTAAGAAAATAAACCTGCGTTGCTTAAACTGCTAAGCTTGTGGTAATTTATTAACAAAGATATAGAAAAATACAATTTGAAAATCAAATATATAATAAAGAATTTGTATTCACAATATATAAAGAACTCTGCCCTGACTGGTGTGGCTCAGTTGGTTGGGCATCATCCTACAAGGCAAAAGGTCACCCGTTCGATTCCCAGTCACAACACACGCTTGGGTATGTGTGCCACCCAGTTGGCACACATACAAGAAGCAACAGATCGATGTTTCTCTCTCACATCAATGTTTCTCTTCGTCTCTTTCTCCCTTCCTTCCCCCCTCTAAAAAATAAAATCATATATATATATATATATATACACATATGACACCAATGACTCAATAATAAGAGGACAAACAACCCAATTTTTTAAATGGGCAAAACTTGAGTGGCTATTTCACCATAAAGGATATACAAATGGCTAATAAGCACATGAAAAGATGTTTCACATCATTAGTCTTGGAGAAATGCAAATTCAGACCACAATGTGTAGGCAGTGTGTAGGAATCTACACGTAGGCAGATTCCAAACAACATCATTTCTGAGAGTAAAGTACAAAAATCTCTGGCTTTGGTCTTTCTCACCCTCTCTCCTTCTGAAGCTGCTACGTGTGACAGTCCCTTGGTGAAGCCCACATGGCAAAGGGCCAAAAGAGGCTTTCACCCAACAGCCGGAGAGGAACAGAGGCCTTCAGTTTAATGGACCCTAAGGAACAGAATCCTTCCAACACCCACGTGAGCTTGAAGCAGATCCTCTCCCAGTCTGGCCTGAAGATGAATACAGCCCCTCGACATCCTGAATGTAACACTATGTGAGATCCTAAACCACAGGATTTAGTTAACCACACCCAGATTCCTGACCCATAGAAACAGCAGGATTTTAATAAAGCAGCTAAATTTGGGGGTAATTTGTTATGCAGCTTTATATAATTAGTACAGACCCACTAAAATGACTATAACCAAAAAGACATCAATTTGAAATGTTGGTGATGATGTGGAGTAACTGGAACCCTGATACATTGCTTGTAAGAATGTAAAATAGTACATCCACTTTAGAAATCAGTTTGATGGTTACTTTTAAAAAAAGAACATAAACTTACTTTTCAACCCAGCAACTTCACTCCTAGGAATCCACCCAAGAGAAATGAAAACCTGTATGTCCACATAAAACTTATGTGAATATTCATAGCAGCACTATTCATAAGAGCTCAAAACTGGACACAACCCAAATGTCCATCAGCTGATGAATGGGCAAAGAAAATGTGGTCTAGCCATACAGGGCAACACCACTCAGCAATAAAGGAACAAACTACTGAGGCACACTACGGATGAACCTCAAAAACATCATGCTGCCTGAAAGGAGCCAGGTGCAGAGATAACCTACTGTATGACACTGTGGAGAGCACGTGCCCAGAAAAGACAAATGTATAGAGACAGAAAGATGTGTGGTTGCCTGGGGCTGGGGGCTCACTAGGAAAGACCACGAGGGGGCTTTCTGGGGTGGATGAGACCTAAGACTGACTTATGAAGATGGTTGCAGAACTCTACAAGGTGAACCATGCTTCATTAAAGCTGTTCAAAATTCCTAGAAAGAAATTTCCAAGGAAGGTGCTAAAATAATATAACATTTTATTGAAGAACACCAACTAAGACCTTAACAGAGAGAGCCCATGTTCCTGGATATAAATACTTAATAGCATGAATATATAAATATTTCCATATATGTACATTATACATATAAACATCTAATCAGAACCTTATTGTTCTGTTTTTTAAAAACTCAGTAGGAAAAAAAACTCAGTAGAATGATTCTAAATTTTGCATAGAAGAATAAATATATAACAAATTACATTATTAATATTGTTTTCTAAAACCATAAACTATCTTCTTAAAAGTGCTGCCATCTCTTCAAAAATAAACCATTATATCAAAAATGTACACCTTAGAGAAAAAAACCTACCAAACCTTATGCGCTGTTTCACTATAAGAAGACATGAATGTGACATCTGGCATTCCTGTGTTACTGTGTGGCCAACGAAGACTGAGTAAGGTTGGGATGTAGTCACATCCACTTGGACGTATATCTGTGAAGCATTATATAATTTCATCAACCTTTTTAACCTAAGAGGGGAGACTGTTTTAACACTTGATTACTATGTAGAATTGAAAAGAATCGCAGTGTGGATGAAACTGGAGAGCGTTACGTTAAGTGAAATAGGCCAGGCAGTGAAAGACAAATACCACATGATCTCACCTATAACTGGACCCTAATCAACAAAACAAACAACCAAGCAAAACAGAACCAGAGACGTGGAAATAAAGAATAAACTGACAGTGATGGGTGTGGGTACAGGGGAAAGAAGGTGAAGGGTCAAGTCCAAGAACATGTAAAAAGGACCCATGGACAAAAACAATTGGGGGGGGAGAAGGGTTGGATATTGAATGTGGGAGATGGGGGGGGTGGGTAGGGCAGGGGAGAGTAATGGGGAGAGATGGGGACAATCATAAAAAAATTGACCCTTTCCCATCTGATGTTAAGAATAAGATTCAGAAAAGGACAGAAAGAGAGTATTAGCAGCATGTAGTCTCTCTCTGTGTACCTTGCTACTGTTGGAAAAACATGAACTCTCTTACCCAACAAGCTACCCATTACTTGCTCATTTATTCGGTGAGTTAACCCAATTTATGAGAAGGCAAGCTCAGCAGAAAAGGATGGAAACCTTTCAAGGGCCTAATTTAATTTTTGATGGCCAAAAAGGAGACAAGAGTGGACAGAAGGGAGAGGAAGAGGGAAAAGACAAGGGTGTGGAGGACCAGGTGGATGAAGGAAGAGGGCTGAGCTGTCAGTCAGCGTGGTGGTGTAAACAGGGGGCTAATGGCTACAGGCATAGACTGGGAGGGCATATCTCTGCCCTTGTAACATTGTAACATTGCCACTGTTCCACCTTAATGGGCTGCTTCTCAAAACCACAGCACACATCAGAGTTATTTGAGGAGTTTTAAAAGTTCAGATCCTCAGGTCCCACACCATAGACAGATAAGAGTCTTTAAGGATGGGGCCTGGACATGAATTTTTTTTAATTCCACTGTTGATTTTGAGGTATAGCTTCTGGGAGGTCTGAAAGCAGTGTTATGTCAACCACTGTGTCAAGAACAGCCACAGCTCCTGGCAAATGTACCCTGGGCCAGAGACTGAAAAAGAAAGAGGAGAGAAAGAAAAAAAGAAAAAGATGACAAAAAAAATAATAAAGGCAAAGTTTGCTTAATGATGTGCAGTAAATATTGCTCCTCAGCATAACCCTGTCACCTTGGGGATACTTAGGACCTCTCGGGCAGCAGGTGGGCATTCGGGGAGCTACGAACAGCACCCGTGCAGACCAGCCGAGGGCCAGGCCAAGCGCATCCACTGGAGCCTTTGGGATCAGGGCACCGCCATAGATGATTTTTCCCTGTACAATGACCTATCCCTTTCTTGCTGTTGCTGTAACTGCAGGAGGTTATTACCTTACAACTGCAGTTTACTACAAAATATATTCAGAATTTCTCCTTTGGTTCTGCAGGTCT